GAATAAGCGTAGGCAAGCATAAATAGGTTTCGATTGTATACAGCGCCACCAGTGGCTGTTCCCGGCTCCATGTGTCAAGCACTCTGCGATGCCAGCTTGGTAATCTCGATCGGGAACCCCCTTTGTCACCTAGCATGCACTGATCGCGATGTCACAAAGTAAATCACGTCGTGCATGTAGCCCACCCAGTGTGCATTGGGACTCAATGTGTTCAAAACAGGAAGTCGGCTCATTCTACGCTCAGCTGTCATGGCGAGTACATCAGTGCCCTGTATACAAACTATGCAACAACAAATGTCAAGAGATTTTGACGATGATTCTCGTCTGCTCATTTATGCCGTCGGTCTCAGAAAAGTATTTATATATCAACCACCATATGCGGCTTCATTGTGTATTGAGATATACATGATATCAACGAGTTTTTTGGACAAAGTGAAAGTAAATGTTGTATTGCCATGCCCGGCGACCTCTTATACTAAGGCACTCTGTGAATGAGATTTTTCCAGCGGTGAAGGCTCGTCTCATTTTTAGCGCCATGTCACGTCTGTAGTTGAATGAAACGTGCCTTGATTTACAATAGTTCTCCTTCCAATGCGACTTCAATTTATCTCACCGGCGTTTGAGCGATTGTGTAGTAAAAGCTGCGAATAGCCGTTGTGTAGCAAAATATAACGGCCTATTTTAATAACCGGGTCGTCTCACTGAATCTTGAATAGTGTTGAACTAACCTCCATGGTTGAACTTCGCTCGGTTCATTTCACCGGGATCACGAAAAACTGCGTCATACAAAGTATTTTTTAAAGGTTTGAGAAAAGTTAAATTTAGACTCACCCTTCAACGCAAACCACCCAATGTCGATCGCTATGTTTACATAACTGTATGAATATCTCATTGGCTTTACGTAATCAATTGTGCCCCTCCCTCAGTGGAACTGATAACACGACGCCATGACAGTTTTCACGCAAGGTTGTGACTTCGCGGACGAATTATTATGGAGACTCCGTCATTACCTTTTTCACCATGTTTCCTTTTGATTATTTATGTACATCTTTGCTAAATCTTGCCAAGCATTCGATAAAGAGAATGTTTGTACCTGTTTTCTATATTTTATTTTGAGCATGTTCTACTGTCCACAAAGCTGCGAAATGTTAACAGTGACGACTGTCTGGCCTTTATTTAAAGCGAGAGGGTCGTTCCCTGCCCATGCGCGAGAATTGAGTCCCAAGCGACGATAACAACACACGCAAAAAACTCAAAGGCTCATGGTTAGACGCTTGTCTGTGAACAATGACACGCTATGGCCATCTGACGCGGGTGACGACCCCCCCCCCCCCGCTTTAAATAATAATCAATTTTCCACAGCGCCGAAATGGACAAGGATAAGTGTCTATGGCAAGATTATTAGTGAACACATTACTGCGTGTAGACTGTTATCCGAGATATGATGTGGGGAGTATATCACCACCGTCGAAAGTAAATAAATGTTATTGCGAATATCGTGTGATAATGTAAACATGTGACTTCACACAAATTCTAATTCTGATAATGGTGATTTAAAATTCCTAATAATAGTAATATTTTATTTTTTTTAATCACAAAGTTGAAAACTAATCACTGTTTTTTTTTCTTACAGAACCAAGCACCAAGTACAACGAGGTCTAAAACCGACACACTATCACCACTAATGCCCAAAAAATTGGAATTTTCGATAGGTATATTTTCATTGATTTATCAACAACTACTGTACTCCCTTACCACAGTCTACCAAAGGTGAATTTTACTCCGCAACAACTCAAAATCAGCCACGGACACAAGCCATATCGCATGAGTATCTTTTTATTTGTGCGATTTTTTGGTATAACACTCGTCGACGCCGAGAAGTTGTTAAGCAAATCGTCTCAATTTACCTTTTGTTCCGCAGCGGGATTAAAATTACTACCCGATTTTTTGTTTTTGTACATTGTACTCATCGTTGACCTTCGTTTGAAAGACATGCCGTAGAAATGCTGATGCTCTTTAACAAACTTAATATTTGTTTCCCATTCTTTAGGAGAGAGTCAGAGCAGTCTGGCATCTGATTTACGGGTATGTTAACTCGCATATAGCAGCATATATACCAACTGTAGATATAACTTAGAATGTAGCGAATACTCAATAGTTCTTATATTCAGAAATCATACATAAGATAACAGATTTAACTAATGTATCCAAATGTATTTATTGTAGGACATGGTAGTGGACATGAATCCCAGGGAGGTAGGATAACCAGTAATTATCGTTAATATTAATATTAAACTTATATATATATGTATACATAGTATGTAAATAAACTATACTATTTTAGTACCTCGTAAAATGTTTCATAAAGTGTATCATTATTCGTTTGATAGCAACTACAATGGGAAAGTGACAGAGTGCAGGAAGTTGTGAATTTCGATAATTGTCATATAGACCCAGCTCCGTTACAGATCGTAGAAAAGAGTTCCTTACATAAGGTATCTGCAGACTTTGTACACACATATAACAACACACATACATATCAAATACTGTTAATTATTTACTGATTTTCAATTTCGCTATTTTCGCCGATATTAAGTAAAATCCGCTAAATTAAGTCTACGGAAACATGGAAAATAACAATAGAACTCATTGTTTCCCTGCCAAGTTCGTGAACTTGCGCAGAACCAGTGAACGCCAGTGAAAATAAATGATTTTACAATAGTAGTGTACTACTTAGTTAAAGTGGAAGGGTCGTCACCTGCGCGCGCGGGGGAATTGAGTCCCAAGCGACGATAACAACACACGCTAAAAACGCAAAGGCTCTTGGGTAGACGCTTGTTTGTAAACAATAACACGCGATGGCCATCTAACGCATGCGCAGGCGACGACTTCTCCGCTTTAAACCCATCAGCGGCTGACGCATAAATACACAGCATACAGTTGTCTACACGAACACCTGTATCATTCATCTGCATATACACCCGTCCGCATGTTCTAATATGATGATAATTTCGCAAATACAAAACATAATTGTTAATTCTTTCCTTTTTTGTGTAAATAGATTCATACTCTCTTCAATCTGTTGAGTGTAAACAAGGCATATGTCACCAGCATGGGAAGACTAGTTGGGATTGTATCACTGGATGAGGTAAGTAATAAACGTGTATGCTTGTCGTTGAAATGGGCATTATATATATATATAACAATTTTGCTTCACAACAAAAAACATTTTGAATGTCAATTGTTCACACGGTTAACACATTACACGTCACCAAATCACACTGTGCGCTGTTAAATCACATTGTGAGCCATCGTGACACATTTTCCCGCCGATTAACCACATTGTGTGCCATCGTAACAAATTATACGCTGTCAAACTACGTTGATTGCCAACAAACACATTGTACGCGGACAAATTACCATGTGTGCAGCCATGACAAATTGTACGCTGCCAAACCACATTGTGCGCACTGTAACATATTACAAACACCAAGTGACAGTACAATAGGTTCTGCAACCGTGACTAAAATGTCGCATTTAGATTGACATCAAAAAGTCACGTGACTTTTCTCTTGCTGAACCACATCTATGGAAAAATGATCACAATGTTTTATTTCCGAGCCCACTCCCGAAAGTCAATATTTGTAACAATTTGAATAAAAGGTTAGGTGTGAAAATTCATATTTTTGTTTTCTCGTGTGCAAGGTCCGAACTGCGATCGTAGGTTCTGGTATATATGACGGCAGCGATTCAGAGGACGATGACACGTTTTACGACTCATACGAAGACAGTGATGAAGGTGTGGAGATGGTGGAGAGTATAAATTGTGATCGTGATCTTGATACGTCAAAACAGTCGTGACGAGCATCATCCTGTGTTGTTCAAGACACATATTTGAGCTAGTGAATCAT